TACCTGCATTGTGCACCACTGCCTCCCCACACACCCCCACCACAGCCTGGTGATGGGAGAGTGCCAGGGACATGCACACCGTGGCTGCAGGGAGGCCCTGGGGCCTTGTTGAGGCCAGCCATTGCCGGGAGGTGGTGCTTAACTGCAGAGTGGCCCGGGATTCTGAGCACCCCACCCCGGGGCCCTTCCCTCACCCTTGCCTGCCGGATCTTCCTGGGCTGTGGGTGGGAATCTTTATCTAGTTGGTCTACTTGGAGCCCTGGGCAGCGCTCCCTATCTGTGATATGCCTGCAGCCGCCAGCAGGTGTGGCCAGGACTCTGAGTGCAGGCCCAGCCAGCCTGGCCCAGTCTCACGGTGGACCAAGGACAAGGGCAGTGTCCCCACCCGTGCTTGCCTTGGGATAGAGACAGTGTGCCAGCCCTGAGCCCCAGGATGGTCTAAGAAGGGACCAAACTGTGTTGGATGCTGAGGCTGGGAGGGGGTCAGCCCATGTGTGGCTGGATACATGTCCCCAGGGATGAGATGGTCTGCCAGTCCCCAGGCTTACTGAGGGGCAGGGACGACCTGGCCCACGCCCAGTGCTGTGGGTGAGCCACCTTGGGGAAACAGTCACCAGCACCTCCCTGCCTCAGGCTCAGACTCCTGGGCAGGTGGATGAACCCTGAGCAGCCAGGCCGGCACACATGCACTGGCCATCACAACCCCCCAAAAAGGTCACCTCAGGATGTGCAGAGGTGACCACACACCTGTGTGGCATGCACATGCAGCAGGTTTCAGGCCACATCTCTCCTGTGGGCACAGGGCTACCGACCACCCTGACCTGACACCTGTGCCCACATCACCCTGGCTCTGGGACTGCAAAGATGAGCTCCTGCTGGGACAACCCTGGTGGGAGAAGGGGCCCATGCTTCCCTCGGGGAACCTGCCTCTGCCTCTCGCTGCCCAGTGGCAGCGTTGGATGGGACCCAGCTCTGCAGCTGAGGGAGCCTGTAGGGGACTGGGCAGCCACATGGAGGCGTCAGGCTGCATTCCCCAAGGCTCGCGCCCGGCACTGGACCGCACGCTGGGCTGCACCCTGACCCGCAGCCCCTCTCCCCTGTGGCCGTGAGCCCCAGCAAGCAAGCTGCCGTAAGACACGCAGTGTCCACAGGTCTCAGCCATCTGCACTCTATGCGGCTCCTGTCAGGGCAGCCAAGAGAACTCCTGGCCAACCTCTGAGTGCTGGTCTCGGCCGCGGGTGCGCTGCACTGGAGACACGCATCCCCCACACACTGCTTCTGGCAGAGACAGGCCTTGGAGACCCAGGCATCCTGATCCCCAGACCCCAGAGCTGCCTGAAAGAGGTTTCCACAGGCGTCCTTGCCTCCCTCCCTCCCTCCCTGAGTCTCCATCCGAAGCTCCGCTGTCCTCTGAGGACAGGGTGCGGCGGCAGCACCAGTGCAGGAGGGAGGTGCAGACGCGAGGGGACCCACGTTTCTCAGCGTGAGCCTCAAAGTTGCTGCGCTTCCCGACCCAAGTGGAAGGGGAAATGGGACCCAGGGCACGGCCCTTACTTCAGAAGGAAGGAAGCACAATGCCTCAGAGGAATAATGCTCTTCCCAGCACCAAAGCTTTAATTCCTCAGGCTGACCGCAGAGCAGGGGGCCTGGTCCTCATCAGGGTTTCGGCGGCAGACGCCGTCACATCTTGTTCTTGGGAAACTGGGGCTGAGGCCCCGAGACAGAGGCTGGGCAGGGCCAGGGCCTTGAACCCATGCACGTCTGGCTCCAGCCCCTCTGGCTGGTCTGTGGAGAGCGCTGGGGTCTCGCTCTCATCTCTCTCTCCTGTTCCCTGGTGACTTCCCACTTCCCACTCCCCCACCCGTCCTCACAAGCTGCGTGGTTGAGGAAAGACAGCCATCCCACCCCACGCTGTGGCAGAGGCCGCCCAACCTGATTACGGCTGCCCAGAGTCAAGAGGAGCCTGGGACTGAGACTAAGTCCCACAGCCGCATGGCGTGAAAAGTTCCTTTTTGGCAAAGCTGCACCTGAGAGTCTGGAGGAATTCTGAAGGGGGCC